ACGGAAGGCAGCGGGAGCAGCCGGTGGTGACCGTCGGGTCGGAGAGCGAGTAGTGAGGGCATCGGACCTCCGGCACTCCGGGCGGGCGGAAAGCGGTCGGCTCCTCGCCGCCGCCATCACCACCGCCGTCGTCGCCGCCGTCGTCGCCGTCCCCGCCGCCGCCGCCGCCGCTGCCGCCGCCGCCGCCGCCGCCGCCGCCGCCGCCGCCGCCGCCGTCGCTTCCGTCGTCCACGCTGCTGTCGCCGTCGCCGTCGCCGTCGTCGCCGCCACCACCGTCGCCGTCGTCCATATCATCGGCTCGGCCGCCCCGCGAGGCGGGAGCCGAGCTAGGCCCCGCGCTCCCAGGCTGCGAGCCCGCCGCCCCTCCCCTCCCAGAGGTCGGCCTTAAGAAAGAAAAGAATTTTACTATATAGTCTTCTCTCACAGCAGACTAGGTAGGTAGAAAGGTGAAGAACAGCCAGGCTCGGACTGGACACCAACGCGGTATGGGTGGACGCGGGACAGATGATGACGACACGCACGAGCGACACACAGACACAAACAAGCTCACAAGACACACAGCCAGCCGGCTGCCACACACCCTGAGTTGGCGTACACATAACTCAGGGCCACATTCCTCCTGTCGCCCCCCCCAGCACTCCAAGGTGCCAAGAGAAACAAACAAGGGCACAACAAACAACAGACAACAGGAAGTGACATGCGAGGCTAGAGCAGGCTTGCTCCACCTCTAGCAATCTCGCCGGCCGGCGAGGCACGGACGAGACCGTGTGTGGGGTCTAAGTGAGGTGTCTATGGACGCTCTCCGCAGACTGGCTCGGACTGCCCGGCTCAAAAGAATCTCTGTGCGTAGCGGATGGCCTCCCACCGCATCGGCGCGCGCGTCGCGGGCCTCTCGCCAGCGCAGCTGTGCGCCATCATCGAGGCGCAGGCGGGCGTGAGCGACGCCGCGCTGCGCGTGGCGGAGGAGCACGCCGCACGGCTCGTGGAGCAGCCCGAGTGGGTGCTCTCCGAGGTCCTCCTCTCGCCGGACCTCGCCCCGCACATCCTCGCCCAGCTGCCGACTAAGGAGCACGCCGTCAAGGGGACGTGCCACGCGTGGCGCCACGGCTGGAAGGAGACGCTGAAGAAGCGCGAGATGCCGCGCCTGCTCGTGATCGGCGGCGAAGACAACACTGGACGCGTCATCAGTTCGATGGAGCGGTACGACCCGTCAACGAATGAGTGGGAGGAGGAGGCTGTGGCGTTGATGCCTTCAGCACACACGTATGTCCGCACGGCGGTGCTCGATGGCAAGCTGTACGCGGCGGGCGGCCGTGAGGCCGACGGCGCAACTTCCAACCTGGTGGAGCGGTACGACCTGGCTACGACGTCTTGGGAGGAGATGGCGCCGATGGTGACACCACACGAGTTTCACGCCGTGGCGGCGCTCGATGGCAAGCTGTATGCTGTTGGCGGGTACAACGACGACAGCGGCGTCCTCAGCTCAGTCGAGCGGTACGACCCTGCGGTGGGTGCGTGGGAGGCGGTGGCGCCGATGGCGGCGACGCGGTATGGTCACGCTGTGACGGTGCTCGACGGCAAGCTGTACGCTGTGGGAGGCTACAACCGCGAACTCCTCAGCTCGGTGGAGCGGTACGACCCGGCGGTGGGTGCGTGGGAGGAGGCGGCGCCGATTGCGGCGGCGCGGATGGATCACGCCGTGGCGGCGCTCGACGGCAAGCTGTACGCTGTAGGAGGCCGCAACAGCATCCTCAGCTCAGTCGACGACGACGGCATCCTCAGCTCAGTCGAGCGGTACGACCCCGCGGTGGGTGCGTGGGAGGAGGTGGCGCCGATGGCGGCGACGCGGTATGGTCACGCTGTGACGGTGCTCGACGGCAAGCTGTACGCTGTGGGAGGCGACCGCGGCGACACTCGCCTCAGCTCAGTCGAACGGTACGACCCGTCAGTGGGCGCGTGGGAGGCGGTGGCTCCGATGGCGGCGGCGCGGGTGAAGGCTTTCGCTGTCTTGATGTAGTCGCCGTTGAGCGGTGTGAGCGTGCTAGCCACACACACTCTCTCGCGCCCCCCCACCGCTCGACGCGCCCAAAATTCGGCGAATCATAAAGCGGAAACGAATTTCGGCGAATTAGTACTACGCACATGCCCCCCCAGTCCGCCAATGCACCCCAAGGAGCTCACGGACGGACGGCACGCAGTCCGATCCAGTTGAGTGCACTTTTGAGTGCTAAACAACAGGAGAGGCCGCCGCGGCGGTTCCACAAGGTGAGAGGGGCAACCACAGCTCCCCTACTCCGTCTCGCGCGTGACCGCGAAGCGCAGCACGCACGTGACAAAGTCGCGCGCCGCGATGCCGTTCGCGGTTCCTGCCGAGTCGAGATGGTGCCGCTCGTGGATCTCGTAGAGCGAAATGACGAGGAGGGCCGCCCGCGCGCGCGCCGCCGCGGGGAAGAGCGAGTGGCTTGCCGGCGACCACGGCGCCGCCGCCCGCCGGACCAGCGCCGCCACCTCGCCCTCGCCGCCCGCGGCGCGCTGCAGCGGCGTCGGCTCGCCCTCGTGCAGGCTCGCGCCGCTGCGCAGCAGGGAGAGGGCGCGGGCGGCGGTGAGGGTCTCAAGGTGCGCGAGCGGCGTCCAGCCGCGGCTGGCGACCAGCCAGGCGGCGAGGTCGGCGTGTTCAAAGAGGTTCGCGGCCTCCTCGGGCGTGCCGAAGGGCGGCACTGCGGCGCGGGAGGCGCCGTAGGAGGAGAGGAGCTTGGCGACCTCGAGGTGGCCCTGGAAGCACGCGGCGAGCAGCGGCGTGACGCCTTGGGTCTGGGCTTGGTCCTTCGCCGCGCCAGCCTCGAGGAGCAGCCGGGCGACGTCGAGGTGGCCGTTCTGGCACGCCATGTACAGCGGCGTGAAGCCGTCCTCATTGGCCTGGTTGACCGAAGCGCCAGCGTCGCGCAGCAGCCGGACGATCTCGAGGTGGCCGTTCTGGCACGCAATGTACAGCGGCGTGGTGCCGTTGTTCACGGCTTGGTTCACCGCCGCGCTGGCCTCGAGGAGCAGCTGCGCGCACTCGAGGTGGCCGTTCTGGCACGCGATGTACAGCGGCGTGTCGCCGTCCTCCGCGGCCTGGTTGAGCGAAGCGCCAGCCTCGAGGAGCAGCCGGGCGATCTCGAGGTGGCCGTTTTGGCACGCGATGTACAGCGGCGTGGTGCCATGCTTGTCGGCTTGGTTGAGCGAAGCGCCAGCCTCGAGGAGCAGCCGGACGATCTCGAGGTGGCCGTTTTGGCACGCGATGTACAGCGGCGTGGTGCCATGCTTGTCGGCTTGGTCAATCGCCGCGTCAGCCTCGAGGAGCAGCCGGGCGACGTCGAGGTGGCCCTTCTGGCACGCGATGTACAGCGGCGTGGCGCCGTCCTCGCCGGCTTGGTTGACCGCCGCGCTGGCCTCGAGGAGAAGGTGGGCGCACTCGAGGCCATTGTTCTGGCACGCGATGAACAGCGGCGTGGCGCCGTCCTCACCGGCTTGGTTGATCGCCGCGCCAGCCTCGAGAAGCAGCGCGGCGATCTCGGGGCAGTCCTCCTGGCACGCGATGAACAGCGCGGCGCGGCCGGTGCCATTCGTCGCCCCGACGCTCGCGCCGGCTTCGAGCAGCAGCCGCGCCGCCTCGGCTTGACCGTGCCGAGCGGCCCAGGTGAGCAGCGTGTCTTGCGTGTCGGTGTCGAGCCGCGCGTTGAGAGTGCCGCGCGTCTGCCGCCCGGAGAGGAGGGCTCGCAGCGAGCCCAGGTCGCCCACCGCCAGATCGGGCAGCAGAGGGCTCGCGGCGCCGCTCGATCTCATGGAGGAGGCCGCCGGGAAAAAGAATTCGCCAGGGCTCGGGGGAGAGTTGGAGCAAACGCGCAGCCGCAGGGCGAGCTCTGGGGGGGCGCGGGGGCCCCAGGAGGCACCGTGCGCCGCGCAGCAGAGAGCAGTGCGGAAACGGGGCTCCGGCGCTCAGAGTCGCTCAGAGCACCAACTTCCCAGGGCGGTCGAGGAGGTCCAACGCGCCCTCGTGTGCGAGGCGGATCGGCTGGCAGTGGCGTCGGCATCGGCGTCGGCATCGGAGTCGGTGTCGGTGGCAGCACCAGCGTCAGCACCGGAGGAAGATGAGGCGGCTGAGCTGGCACGCAGCGGGGGCGACAGTGAGGGAGAGGCCGACTTGGACGGCGAACCTACCTTTCTACCCTCTCCTCCTACTCGGCGACCGGCGGAGTCGCAGCAATCCCCTGCCCTCGTACCGTTGGCGAGCGCCAATTTCGATACCGGCAGACCAGCTGTGCCCGAGTCCACCCTCGGCGGTGAGTCTACCTGTATCATCTGCTTCACCCGCGCCAAATCGCACGTCGCGATCCCGTGCGGACACTTGTGCGCGTGCGAGGTCTGCTCTGCCAGAATGGAGCAGTGTCCCATCTGTCGTGACGCGGTGGTGATGTGGTTCCAGTCCTCGCGTATCCGCGAGGCTTGATGACAGATGAGCAAGAGGAAGAAGAAGGTCTGTCTGCTATTAGCTCGGTTACGGTACGTTTGGAACTCGCTTTCCAAGTGAGATCAACATCAACAAACGATGGTAGCTCTTCGCAGTAAATGTGGAGCTTCTCCCCTCAAGAGTAAAGGTAAGAGAGGACAAACCTGGCTGTTATCTCACGAGCGAGCTTTCTAGAGTGTAGAGAGCCGGCTACGTACAGCGTTTTAACGTAGACGACCGGCCTCAAGCTCAACCTGCAGCTGGGCACACAGACAGGGGTCCCCTCCGCCTCGCCCGTTTCAGTGCGCGTTTGAGAGCGTTTAAAATGCGGCCGACACCGCGTTTCAGCGGCGCGACCGGTATCCCGCGGGGCAAGGTACCGTACTAAGTACGTGTGCTCAGTACAAACAAATAACCAATTTGCGCGGCGTCGCAGAGACAGAGCTTTTGCTGGCCTGCTTCCTGCGCGGTGACATCCCGACCGGATCCCGACCAATCGCGGCTCTCCCCCTCACGCCGGCACCGCCGGCGCCAAGCTCGCCATAAGAAGCGCCACACTCAGGCCGACGCCGCCGACGACCGACGCTCCCGCCGCCCCGACGGCAAAGGGCGCGAGACCGGCGCCGTGGGAAAGCGGCGAAGTTGACGGAAAGCCCGACGGCCGCGAGTCCGGTGGAGAGGAGGACCTTTGTTCCTGACACGCACAGAGGGCGGTGTGAAGAGGCGCCGTGGTGGAGCGGCGGTGGGCAGGGGAGATGAGGGGAGGTGTGGGGAGGTGTGGGGAGGTGTGGGGAGGTGTTGGGAGATGTGGGGAGATGTGGGGAGATGTGGGGAGATGTGGGGAGATGTGGGGAGGTATGGGGAGATGTGGGGAGATGTGGGGAGATGTGGGGAGATGTGGGGAGGTATGATAAGGCGCTCGCCTAGGGCAGGTGGCTATCCCGCGTAATCTCGCGTAATCTCGCGCAATCTCGCGCAATCTCGCGCAATCGCGCCGAGCACAGCACCCAGCCAATCGGCCCCGCCCTTCCACTGCGCACTGTCGAACGCGAAGAGCGCGCTGCCACCGTTCGCCAGCTGCGCGTCGCCAAGCGTCCGGACTGCCTGCTTACAGAGGGGAGAGCCGTGAGGAGACGCCGTTCACAGCCAGCTGCGCGTCGCCGAGCGTCCGGACTGCCTGTTCACAGAGGGAGAGCCGTGAGGAGACGCCGTTCACAGCCAGCTGCGCGTCGCCAAGCGTCCGGACTGCCGCCATGGCCAGGAACCCGCCGACGAACGCGGGCACCGCCGCGGCGAATGTCTTTGCGGTCACGCCGCCTGTGGCGCCTGCTGCGAGCTGTCCTGTGAGCTGTGTGCTGTGTGCCCAGCAGTCCGGACCCGGTGCTACGGCCGGTGACAGCGCGCCTCGTGTCGGCTCCCGAGCCAATCATGTGCAGCGTGTGTGTGTGCGTGTGGGCCCGTCCTCCATGCTAGGAGGTGTGTCACACTGACACACTGACTGACCGCCCGTGGCGCCTGCTGCATGCCGGACCGCCATCAGCGGCACGACGGCGGCGAGGAAGACGTTTCGCGTCAGCTTCGCCACAGCCGCCGCGCCGACAACCTAGTCAGCCAAAGCTCGCAACACCTCAACCTTCTGACTGCTCGTCCGCCGCACCGCTGCCACCCCGACAACCTAGTCCAGAGCCCGCAACGAGTCAGACTGTGACGCTGCCACCCAGCTTCGCCACCGCTGCCGCTTTTGGCAACCGCGGCGTCGGAGTACTGCTCCGCATACGACGCAGCGCATCCCATCACCTGAAGGAATCCCGGAAGGATCCCGGAAGGGTCTCGGAAGGGTCTCGGGAAGAGCGTCGGGAGGGTCCCGGAAGGGTCTCGGAAGGGTCTCGGGATGAGCGTCGGGAGAGTCAGGGTCTCGGAAGGGTCTCGGAAGGGTCTCGGAAGGGTCTCGGAAGGGTCTCGGGAAGAGCGTCGGGAGGGTCTCGGAAGGGTCTCGGAAGGGTCTCGGAAGGGTCTCGTGAGACACTGGACGTGGATATACACCGAGATTGCCCGAGATGCTCGGAGATCACCTGCGCCGTGTCGTGGACGGCGAGGCCGAGAAACAGCCCGATCGCGCGTGAGTCGGAGGGCGGGAAGAGGGCGGCGGCGACGTGCGGGTAGACTAGCATGCCGACGCTGCCGAAGGCGACGACGTTGGCGACGGCGATGGCGACCTCGGCTTGCGTGGCGGCGATGGCGGGTGCGACGGCGGAGATGGCGGTGACGCCGCAGATCGAGGTGCCGCACGCGAGGAGAGCGCCGAGGCGCGGCGCCAGGCCGAAGCGCGCCGCGAGCATCGGGATTATAGTCACTCCGGCGCCGACTGAGCACGCCGCTGCGGGCACAGTCGTCCAGCCGAGAGCGAGGATCTGGGCCGCGGAGAGCTTGGCTCCGACGCAGACGATGCCGGTGCGCAGGATGTTGGACGTGGCGTAGGACAGGCCCGGCTTAATCGCCGCAGTCACCGCCGACGGCGCCGCGTTGCCGGCTGCAGCGCCGAGCACGATAGAGACTGGGATCGCCGAGATGTGCAGCTGCGACGGCAGCTGCGACGCAACGAAAGTCGCGGCGCCGGCTGTCCCCGCCGCGGCTGCGATGCCTGGCGCGTGCTCTAGCCGCGGCAGCAGCTTGCTGAGGTAGGAGAGCATTGCCAGCGGGAGGGAGAGCCCGCCGCCTGCCGTAGCCCACACCGCAAAGCCCGGGAGTGAGAGGAAAAGAATTTGTGCGGGCAACGCCCTCGGCGTGCCGTCCTCCCATCCCTCCCTTGGGCTGTCTGTTTTCTTTCTTTCTTTCTTAGCGAGAAGCGACATGGCGGCCTCCGACGCGTGCCTCGTTTCGAAACGGACAGCTTGCCACAAGTTGTGCGCCGGGTTTGAGCTCGCGCGGGCACTGCTTGCGGCGCGAGAGTACCCGGCCCTGTGTGTGTGTGTGTATGCCGCTCGTTCTTGCCGCCGCACTTCTTGCGACGGCGGCGACGGCGGCGACGGTCACCGGTCGCAGCGGTCGCTCATGTGACACCAGAGCCTAGCATGCGGTCTTTGCGTCGGGTTCTTTGTTTTGACTTTGTTTGTGGAGGGTGGGCGTGGCTGTGGGGTCGGCGACGAGAGAGAGAGAGAGGGAGAGAGAGAGGGGGGGGGGGGGGAGAGAGAGAGAGAGAGAGAGAGAGAGAGAGAGAGAGAGGGAGAGGGAGAGAGAGAGAGAGAGAGAGAGAGAGAGAGAGAGAGGGAGAGGGAGAGAGGGAGACCTGTTCCTGTTACGAAAAAGGGAGCTACCTTCTCCGGCGACACTAGGGACTCGGGCCTGATCCCGCACAAAACATCTCCACACTCTCTCCTCTCCTATGACACAACTCTCCGACCTTGGGCTAGATTCCCATGTTTCACCACAAGCGCCAAACTGCTTCTCGCCGCGCGCTGCTGACAGCGTCAAGTGCGGCCCTTAGCTGAGTAGAACTCGAAGTGGGCGTCGAGGGGGCCTATAGTAGAGTGTGAGCCCGCGCGCTGCAAAGCTCGAGACAGTGGGCGATGGCGCGAGCTGGGCCATGGGTGTGGATGCTGGGTTGACGGAAATCGAGGGACGCGACCCACTTCGCCACAGACGGTCCCGCGCCTCGCCGCTATGACGGCCACACGACCGCGGCTCGTGTACGTGTGCCCGTCTTTGTCCGGAGTGAAAAGTCCAACGCGCTCGTCGGTGGCGGCTTCCCTCAACCTGCGCCGCGCTCGGCGAACCTCGACAGCGCTTTCGGTGGCATGCAGCTCTTTGCGACAGAAGCCTGGAGAGCAGCTCCTCTGCTGCTCATACACTCTGCACAGCTGACACAGCCTACTGTGCGGCTGCCACAGCTGTGACAGCGATGGGCTCGCCCTCACTGGCCCTCAGTCACTTGTGCTGCGGCTTGTGTGAGCGACACTGCTCGGCGACTGCCGGCACACTGTGAGACCATGGGTGTGAGGTAAAACCACGCTACCAGCGCTTGGTCACATCGGCCCCGAGGTCAGATCCTTCTACTCTGTTGATGACAAGACTTGTCTACCGGCTGGAGCCGAGCAGGAGGGCCCGGCGCACAACCCCTTGGTCAACTCACCCTCCACGACCCCGTACTAATTGCGTGTGACTGTTTCTGCCGTCTTTGAGGAGGCGAGCCTCGTGCCTGGCGGCCGGGCCGTTGCAGCAGCAGGAGACTCGAGGCTCAGGCCGTCGCGTCGCGGCGGCCGGCAGGGAGAGCTCTGTTGGGGTTGGCGTTGGTCTAGAGCACCAACACGCTGCGGGATTTTAGAATTCCACTACTTCCTCTGGATGTGAGGTTAATGACTTGCACTCCAAGTAAGGTAAGGTAAGGTAAACTTCTCCACACACACGAGGTGGTGGGGCAAGGGGGGGCAACCCTCGCGTCTCCACGTCTGACGACAGGAGCCCCACGGCATTCAAAGTGCAAGGCCACTCCAAGTGCTCCAATACTTCGAGAACCGAATAACACAAGAAATCGCGCCGCCCACGCGCGGAAAAGAATTTCGGCGAATTAGTACTACGCACATGCCCCGCCCAGTCCGCCAATGCACCCCAAGGAGCTCACGGACGGACGGCAAGCAGTCCGATCCAATTGAGTACTAAACAACAGGAGAGATCGAGAGAGACACCGTCGCGGCGGTGCCAAGGTGAGAGGGGCCACCACAGTGCTCCCCTACTCCGTCTCGCGCGTGACCGCGAAGCGCAGCACGCACGTGACAAAGTCGCGCGCCGCGATGCCGTTCGTGGCTCCTGCCGAGTCGAGATGGTGCCGCTCGTGGATCTCGTAGAGCGAGAAGACGAGGAGGGCCGCCCGCGCGCGCGCCGCCGCGGGGAAGAGCGAGTGGCTTGCCGGCGACCACGGCGCCGCCGCCCGCCGGATCAGGGCCGCCACCTCGCCCGCGCCGCCCGCGGCGCGCTGCAGCGGCGTCGGCTCGCCCTCGTGCAAGCTTGCGCCGCTGCGCAGCAAAGAGAGGGCGCGGGCGGCGGTGAGGGTCTCAAGGTGCGCGAGCGGCGTCCAGCCGCGGCTGGCGACCAGCCAGGCGGCAAGGTCGGTGTGGCCGTCGCGGTTCGCGACCTCCTCGGGCGTGCCGAAGGGCGGCATTGCGGCGCGGGAGGCGCCGTAGGAGGAGAGGAGCTTGGCGACCTCGAGGTGGCCGTTGAAGCATGCCATGATCAGCGGCGCGAAGCCGTTGTTCGTCGAATGGCTGACTGCTGCGCCGGCCTCGAGGAGCAGCCGGGCGATGTCGAGGTGGCCGTTGTGGCACGCGATGAGCAGCGGCGTGGCGCCGTGGGTCGTGACTTGTTCGACCGCCGCGCCTGCCTCGAGGAGCAGCTGGGCGAGCTCGAGGTGGCCGTTCTGGCACGCCATGTACAGCGGCGTGGCGCCATTCTGCTTGGCTTGGTCCTTCGCCGCGCCCGACTCGAGAAGCAGCCGCGCGCACTCGACGCGGCCGTTCTCGCACGCGGCGAACAGCGGCGTGACGCCATCGTTGCGGGCTTGGCTGGCCGAAGCGCCCGCCTCGAGAAGCAGCCGGGCGATCTCGAGGCGGCCCTCCTGGCACGCGATGTACAGCGGCGTGGTACCGCAGTTCATCGCTTGGCTGATGTCAGCGCTGGACTCGAGGAGCAGCTTGGCGCACTCGAGGTGGCCCTGCTGGCACGCGATGAACAGCGGCGTGGCGCCGTCCTCCGCGGCTTGGTTGACTGCCGCGCTGGCCTCGAGAAGCAGCCGAACGATCTCGACGTAGCCGTTCTGGCACGCCATGTACAGCGGCGTGGCGCCTCTGGCACTGGCCTGGTTGATCGCCGCGACCGCCTCGAGGAGCAGCCGAACGATGTCGAGGTGGCCTTGCTGGGACGCGATGTACAGCGGCGTGCAACCGTCCTCCGTGGCCTGGTTGAGCGAAGCGCCAGCGTCGCGCAGCAGCCGGACGATGTCGAGGTGGCCCTGCCAGCACGCAATGCACAGCGGCGTGGCGCCGTCCTCCGTGGCTTGGCCGACCGCCGCGTTGGCCTCGAGGAGCAGCCGGACGCACTCGACGTGGCCCTCAAGGCACGCGATGAAGAGCGCGGCGCGGCCGGTGCCGGTCGTCGCCCCAACGCTCGCGCCGGCTTCGAGAAGCAGCCGCACCGCCTCGGCTTGCCCGTGCCGAGCTGCCCAGGTCAGCAGCGTGTCTTGCGTGTCGGTGTCGAGCCGCGCGTCGAGCTGGGCCGCGAGCGACGTGCCGCGCGTCCCCCACTCGGAGAGGAAGGCGCGCAGCGAGCCCAGGTCGCCCACCGCGAGGTCAGGAGGAAGGCTAAGGGGAACGGCGCCGCTCGTGGTTGCCGCCGGTGCTCTCGAGGTTCTCGAGGTGGATATCCTTTGGCCGCCGGTGCCGCGCCAGAAAGAATAAAACGCTGTGCGAACATCACCGAGAGAGAGAGAGAGAGAGAGAGAGAGAAATTCGGGATGCGGAAGTGGAAAAGCACATGGTGAGCGGGTTGGACGGACGCTATATGAGTGGAGAGGGGACTGGAAGGGTGGAGAAATGGCTGCGTCAGAGCGAGGAACGGGAGGAGAAGGCGATTCAGTGGTCGTTGGAGGAGAGCAATCGGCGGGTGAGAGAGGAGAGGAGGCAAGCGGAGGCGGATCAGAGCGAAGAAATACAGATTTCGGAATCAGACTCGAGCGGATGCGAGGAGGAGGTGGAGACGTGGAAGCGTTATGGACGACGGAAGGGGCAGAAGAAGGCGCGGGTGGATAGAGCAGCAATGATTTCAGATTCAGGATGGGGTCAAGGTAGTCAATCAGTCGATCAGTACATGAGTCAGTCAGTGGACCAGGCAGTCAGTGGTGAGCAGAGAGGAGAAGTTCAGATGGAAGTGGAGAGCGGAGGCGATAGCGGGGCAGCGGGGAGCAGCGGGCAGAGCGGGATCGATAGAGGGGAGTCGAGAGGCGACATGGTGGGAGGAGGGAGCTATGCTGAGGAGGACGACGAGCTTATGCTGGAGTACATGGGGAACGAGGGCGTGGGCAGCGAGGAGATCGACAGGTTCATGGGGTGGACGACAGTGGATTTGCGAGGGGAGCGTTTCAGTGGGCCAAGGCCGAGTGACGTTAATCAGGCTAAACGAAGCAGGGGTCGACGAGGAGGAGCAACTGGAGTGAGGCGAGCAGCGATGCAAGCTACGAGGAAGGGGAACGACTAGAACGTGTTCGTGATGAGACTGCGACCAGTCGACCGTCGTGCGACTGGCTGTCTAAGCCTGGCGCCGACCCGGTGTTTTGCACACCCACCTTCTGTTCAGTCGACGCTCGTCGTCCACTGAGAACTCAGTGGTTGTCACCACTTTGTATTCTTTTAATATTAACCTTGCGAACTCGTCCCCCCCGGCAGGGCTATGCAACCGTGACCAGTGTGTGCTGTCTACGCCTGATCCAGGCGTGAAATCTGCCGATGCGTGATCTGTGTGTGGGCCGCTCTGTGAGGGGTCCAGGCATTGTCCGACGGGTAGGGGGTCTGTGCCCGGGCGGTGTCCGGTGCGGAGTCTCTCTCTGATCCCGCCTGTGGTGTTGGGTGCGAGGTCGTGGAAGCTTCGATCCCAAGGGGGGGAGCTGAGCCCACTCGATAACCAACTCTCAGGGGCAGTAGGTGGGCGAGCTTCAAGCGCGCTCATCTCGATCGTCAAGGCGTCGCTACGCGCGGTCTTCCGCGGGGGAAGCGTCGCCGACGGGTGCGGGACCGCGGCGCAGCCAGTGCCGTGGCGATGCCTCCGGCTGCTGCGGCGAGTGGCTTGCTGCTCGCTGCGATGGCGAAAAACTCGTCTCGTGGCACACCAAGGGCTTATGCTCTGTCGAGACGTGAGGCGTATGCGCCCAGGAGGGGAGGGTGCATGCGTAACGACGCTGCTAGAGATGCCTTTCGGGGCCCAGAGATAAAACTTCTGATGCCATGCGTGACCTAGTAGTGTCCCCAGCTATGGGCGTGTCCACGTTGGAGCCAGGTGTGGTGTGGACGCGAGAATAGCTCCGCCGTTCATGGAGGCAACCGATGCGAGTCGACTGGTGTGTGTCGTCGTGGTTTCGTATCAAGAATTCTCTCTCTCCGAACATCACCGTCGCGCCGGCCAACCCACATTCATGGAAAATAATTCCATTCACAGCGCGATTTGGTCACAGGGAGGGGTAGCGTGGCAGCTTGCAGACGAGACCAGACGTCTCGCGCCTTCGCGCCTTTTATAGTCCTCTCGCCCCGCTTTCGCGGGACGGGCCTGGAGCGACTGTGCATCCCCCCGATCTTTATAAAAGTAGTGCATCCGGCGTCCGGTTGAAGTTCGCGCGGACCCGCCGCCCAAACCTCGAACGTTCCATTCACAGCGCGATTTGGGCGGTGGGCCCAGCCCCCGCCCCCCTTGGTTGGTTGGTTGCACCCTGCCGGCGGGTCCAGAAAGCTGTGCAAACGCGCAAGTCCCGACCGCCGCCCGCTCGTCCATCGCCGCGACCGCCGACGCGCTTGGCCTGATGTCAAAGCGAGGCTACCCGGAGGGCGGGTTCTACGACCGCCGGCGCGACGACCGGCGCGACCGTCGTGACGATTACGATTACGACCGCCGAGACCGCCGCGACTATGGCGGCCACGGCCACGGCGGCGGCAGCGGCAGCAGCTATAGCTACTACGGCAGCGGCAGTGGCTTCAGCGGCAGCAACGGCAACGGCTACCACAACGACCGCGATATTAGTCGCGGCTATGGCGCTCCCAGCAGCTCTGCCGCTCCCAGCAGCTCTGCACGTCCCAGCAGCTCTGCCAATCCCAGCGGCCACCGTGAGGAAGTCGAGTGGCGGCCGCCATCGCCTCTCCAAGCGCCTGCCCCTCCTCCAGCGGCGGCGGCGGCGCAGGCGGCTCCGCTCACTTCGTCGACCGAAGCAGCCGAGGAGCTCAAGAAGGTGCTGCGCCAGGTACTCGCTGCGCGCTTCAAGAACAAGACGGCGCCCTGCTTCTGCCCGTTCGCGCTTCGCGGCCTCACCCCCATCTACCAGGGCCATCGCGAGGCGTACGCTCGGCTCGCAGACTACTACGGCATATCTCCCCATATCTCCCCCATCTACCCCCATCTCCCCATATCTCCCCCCATCTCCCCCCATCTCCCCCCATCTCCCCCCATCTCCCCCCATCTCCCCACAGCTCCCCACATCTCCCCACATCTCCCCCCACCTCCCGCAGGCTGGCCGCCGGACCCGACGGCGGGCACACAGACGCACAAAGCGCCCTGCACATCCGGCGAGATGAAGGGCTTGCAGGCGCTGCAGCAGCACGCCGACAAGCAGAGCGCCGGCTGCCGGCGCGCTGTTGCTGCCTACGACGACGACGACGACGACGCCGATGAGGAGGACCCGGCCACCGCCACGGCGCACAAGGCGCTGGCGGAGGTGCTGCGCGAGACGACTCGTTTGCCCGAGGTGCTGCCCGGCAGTGGCCCCAAGGCGGCGGCGCAGAAGACGGAGTCCGTCTCGTGGCCGCCGATGCTGTACATCTCGGGCATCAAGGGAGTGCTGGAGGACTCGGCCGGAAAGCTGAAGGTTCGCTTCGGCAAGTGGGGACCTGACGTGCAGTGCCCAGTCTACCGAGGCCCGTTCACCGGGGACGCGGTGCTTACCTTCGGCACGCCGGGGCACGCGCAGCTGCCGCCGGGCTCGTGGGCAACGGCCGGTGGGGCGAGCGCATGCGCGTACGCTGGGTCAATCTGCGCGAGCAGGAGATGAAGATCGCGGACGCGACCAAGATGCGGGACCAGGAGATGCAGCGGGTGATGGAGTCGGCCAACGAGGAGAGGGAGTCGGCGGTGGCCAAGGCGAAGGAGGAGGAGGCCAAGCGGCTCGCACTTGAGGCGGCGCAGGCCGCGCGCGACGCGAGCCTGCGCGAGCACCGGATCAAGGTGGAGGAGCTGACGAGGCGGCTCGGCAAGGAGGAGGAGCAGACTCTCGTCGCGCAGGAGAAGCAGCGCGCGGCGGAGGAGAAGGAGCGCGAGGCGCGGAAGGAGCGCGATCTCATGCAGCGGGGCGCCGACGAGCTCACCGAGCTGATGAGCAGTGCGCTGGCGCAGAAGGAGCGCGAGCTGCAGGCGCACAAGAAGACGTGTCAGCTGGCCGACGGCAGCGCGGGCGCAGAGGCGGCGAAGAAGGAGTACGAGCGGCTGAAGGCGGAGCTGCAGAGCACCAGAGAAGAGAAGATGAAGAGAGAGCGTGAGATGAAGGAGGAGATCGCGGCCAAGGAGGAGGAGAGGAAGGCGGCGGAGGAGGCGGCGGAGGGCTCCGAGTACCAGCAGTATCGCAACGACCACCTCTACCTCAAGGACATGCTCGTGACCATGTGCGCCCGCCCGCCTGCCCGCGTGCGTGCGCATGCGCGCTCACGGCTCCATATCACCTCCACCCATGTGACCGTGGCCTCCGCACCCCACAGGTACGAAAAGATCTCGAGGCACCCGAAGCACGAGTACGCGTTCAGTAATGGGCTCCACCCCTTCAAGACTTTTGGCGACGTGAAGGGTGTGGGAGAGCTGCTCTTCCCGAAAGGGTGCAACCAGATGCAGAAGCTCGAGGCTGAGTGCCTGGACGGCTACCTTCAGCATGGCTTCTGGGGCGAAACGACGATGGACGCATTTCCAAGCTGGCCTCCCTTCTCCGCGGCCAAGGTGTTCAAGATCAAGACCGAGACCGTCGACGATAAGGTTGTGCAGGAGTACCTCCTCGTGGAGAAGGACGAGAAAATGACGGGGCTCATGCCCATTAAGGACGCGACGGGCGCTGTGAGGTTTGAGGTGCAGGAGCTGAACGAGCTCCAGTACGACGCCGCCTTCCTCCGTTACGTGCGCAAGCGCTTCCCGAAGCAGGCCGACGCCTTCATGGGCTACCTCCGCGGCCAGTACCGAGACTATTGCGAGAAGCGTGGCCTCGGCGTGCATGAAGACGCCGTCCACCGGAGGCTGTGGAACCGGGAGCAGGACCGCGAGATGACGCCGGCGGAGATTTTCGCGATCTTCTCTGCGCTGAACGAGTGAGGAATCGTCGCATCCTGTATGGCCGTAGGCAGGGCCGTGATTGATCCACCGTGCCCGCGGGGGGAGTAGTACTGCATGGAAGTACCGGAGTGCCGGAGTCCGGAGAGTAGCAGCGCACGTGGGAGTAGCAACGAAAAAAAAACTGTTCAGTTGTCAAAGGCATAAAACATGACGCTGAGCGGTTGGTGCACCCCTCACACTGACACATTCCCCTCACCCCTTGCCCTTGGCTGAGCACATCTTGGTTTTTGGTCGAAAAGGTAAAGGATATGACCCAAATCTGCCTAAGTGAAGTCCCCCCTCTTCCGGTCCGGTCTGCGAGAGGCCGCGGGCGCGCAGCAAAGCTCGCAAACCTGCTGGGCCCGCCCGCGCAGTTCTGCCCTCCTCCGCCTGGCCACCTTTACGAGCGGCTTACAGCGAGCCACTCATCGTCTTCTCCGTGCGGCTGGCGGTGGAGGAGCGAGCCACCTGTGCGGCGACGGCGAGGTGGAGGGCGGCGGCGTCGGAGGTGGAGGGGACGGCGAAGCCGAAGGCGGCGGCGGCGTCGGAGGCGGCGCGGAAGGTGATGCGGAAGGTGGGGGCGTCGTCGGAGAGGGCGGGCAAGGTGGATGTTTGACGTAGCAAATGTGGTCGTAGCCGCTGACTTCCTCAATGTGTGTCACGTAGTCCGTGTGGATCTCGCAGTTCTCGGAGACCGCCGTGAACTCGATCGCCACGCAGGCGGGGGTGTCACAGCAGAGAGCCTGTGGGCACAGCGTGACAAGCCAGGGGATGTAAGAGGAGGGAGGTGGCTGTGGGCGGGGGAGGGGGCGGTGGCTTGGCACGGCGCCTTGCACTCCGTCAGACTGCCGTAGCCGCGGTACTCCGTGTTGTCTCCGTGGCCGCCGTCCGCCGTCCGACACGCGCCCTGCGCCGCCCCTGGCCCCCCGGGAGGATCCCACGGGGCGTCCGCGTCGCAGCCGCAGGGTGTCGGCGGAGCGGAAGGGGGCGGTGAGGGCGGCGGCGATACAGACGGCGAAAAAGGCGGCGCACGCAG